TTGCTTCCAACATAACGACCTCGAGCAATGAACATGTGATAAAGAACGATTGAAATGATATAAATTATAATTGATTCTTATAAGTTAATAACGACACTTGTGCTGTTCTCAAAAGTATTTTTTTTACACTTCTGGGTCGTGGCTGCTTATAAGTGAATCCATTATTAGAAGTCAGTTCGTTGAAAAAATCAGACCACAGTAGATAAAAAACTGTAGTGCCGTTTTACGTAGTGGATAACGACTAGAGGGGCGTTCTAGATTTCAGATAGCAATTGGAGTATCATTATCATCCAATGGTTGCAGGCAACACAAAAAACACACTAAATACGAAAACAACACCAACTAAATATTATTTAATACTATGGGCTTGTGTGGGAGGGATTAAAATCAGATTAAAATTGAAAATATAGCCGTTATTGTTGACTTTTATTAGATGAGTGGGGTCCAGTAACGGTCATATTTTCAATTTTAATTGACTTTTAATCCCTCCCAAACGGGGCCTATATTCAATAATAAAAGTACAAACTACATAAAATTTCTAAAATTCTCTTTCTTCATTCTTCAAATGTAAAATGATTTTCAATGTAGATGATATGCTAATCAAACTCTTGTTCAAATGCTTAAAAAATGCCCAAAATAAGTGAAGAATATAATAAAGAATATGATTTTTGGGTAGCAAGAATGATGATCGAAGAAAATAAAATGGGCAATTGTGATTTTGAGGATCTAAAATTGAAGAAGATAAAAAGAGGAAGAAGATGGAGGAGAAATGACGGGATAAAATCATGAAAATTGAGGGTTTTTGAGACCTAAAATTGAAAAAGATAAAAAGAGGAAGAAGATGAAGGAGAAATGAAGGGATAAAATCATGAAAATTGAGGGTTTTTGAGACCCAAAATTGAAGAAGATAAAATGGGAAGAAGATGAAGGAGAAATGACGGGATGAAATGAGGAAAATTGAGAGTTTTTGAATTGATAATTCTTGCCAACTAAAATATTTTGCTTTATTTTTTTATTTTTATTATTGGTCAAATGTCATTTCACCGAATACATTGTCCAACTAGGCTAAATGACCATATTCCCCTAAAAAGAAAACCTTTTTTTGAATATTTTAGACATCACGTGTGTGCGACCTAAAATTTTAACGTATTAATAGATGTTTTTCTTTAAGTGAGGATAGTGATGCATAATATGAAGCCATTGTTAGAGCTCCATTTTGGAAAAAAATGTATTTTGAAATAGTGATTTTTTTTAGAATATTTGATTCAAAAATAAGAAAGAGTTATCAATCTACATATAATATTATTTTATTGAAAAATGTATGATAGAAAACAAGTTTTGAAAAAACGAATTTTTATAAGAATAAGGTTCAAACAAGGGCTAAATAGCATTATTCGATATTAAAAGGTTGAAGATATGAGTATCACAAATAAAAGGCAGACGACATAGGTGCAACATTTATTAAAGGTTGGGGATTCCTATAAGAATTTCCCCTTTCGTTTTTTTTTTCACGACTAAAGGTTAGCAGACACAGATTCCATCTCCATAAGCAAAAGAAGATTCAGCTGAAGGGCATAAACTTTTTTAGTCGAGGCATCGGCGATTTCAGGTACCTATTTATTTATTTATTTTTCTGGGTTTTAGTAATTTCTCATTATGGTTTTTTAGAATTCAGTTTATTGAAAGATGAAATATTGATTATGAATTCAGTTTAATGTTTAAATGTGTGCTTTATTTTGGTATATTTAATATGCTTTGAACTTATATATTGTTTTCATAAGTTTTCATGTTTTTTTATTGAATTACTGCTTTATTGGTAAATTTTCATATGAATTTTAAGGAGAATAATTTTTTTGTGTTTCTTGCCCATGGTGTTAATTTTTGGTTTTTGTCTATAACCGTTTGTTCCCGTAGCTGTGGAAAGTATGTTAAAAACAAACAAAATAAGTAGACAAATGAAAATACAATATATTCTCAGTACCGTAAAACTGAAGTCTGAAGATATGAGCACTACATGAAATCATGAAATGAAACTAACCTGTTTGAGGACTCTTATTCGACTTAGTTTCTCGTATTTAATTTAAGGAGTTCGGGTTGAGGTCCAGGTTTATTCTAAGCTTCGGCAAGTGATATGGATTATTGATATTTTTTGAGTTTATAACTTGTCTATAGTTTATACTTCATCATTTGAAAATAGCATCTAGGAATCTAAGTTTACTGTTAGTTATTGAAAGTGTTCTCCCTCTCTCTTCCACAAATCTGTTGTGCCTTGGTCCCTAATTCTAGTGTAGTTAACCTTCTCACTAATTCATTCCCCTTCTTTGCTTCTCTCTTGCTTAGTTGTGGTTCTTCAAGTCAGCCCACTATTTGCAACTTTTGATTGAAAGTCCAGTCTCGGACTCCCAGGCAATGACTGATTCTTAATGAGATTATTGGTATCACTATATACTTGGGACTTATTTGGCGGCATAGGTTTTGCACAAATACGATCTGGCATAAAGTAACATATACATGTTGATAGATCGTGTATCAAGAACAAAACATGTGGATATACATTTTATGTACATGTGGAGATTTATGACTACGTTTTCTATGAAATACGGATTGACTTGAATGAATGTTAAATTCCCCCCCCCCCCCCCCCCCCCCCCCCCCCCCCCCCCCCCCCCCCCCCCCCCCCCCCCCCCCCCCCCCCCCCCCCCCCCCCCCCCCCCCCCCCCCCCC